ACTGAAGAGAATCAGCGGCGCGCGCGTCTCACGCTCCTCCTCTAGGGCGCGCGCGCGTCACGACGCACAGTGTCTCAGGAATTTACAAAAAAAAGAGAAAAACTGTGACGTGTACACACACACACATAATCTACAATACCATCCTTTATGAACTGGTGTGTTCTTGTAAGGGGATAAATATAAACAGACTAGTTCTTCAGCTCTGCAGATGAAAAAAATTGCAGTTCTAGATGATTTGGAACATAATATTTGGTCTAAACAGTATACCAGCTACTAACTACCACTTTAAACTGGATTGTCCTAATAAGCTGTGCAAGTTACTAGTGGTTTTGGTCTGATTTCTTAAAACGTTTGGAATAATCAAACATCTGCTTTGGGGAACCAGAAATGGATCTTCTAATCTAAAGCATCGTTGCGAGAGAAACAACAACCTTTTAGAACCTTTATTTACGTAGGACTAAAAATCATGCTTTTTATGTGCAGTCTGTTATGTTTGGAGCCTGCTGTAATCTGGTGTACTCACACAGTCTGGGGCCCCGGGCCCTTCATCAGGTCGAGTGGCGCTTCATTAACCGCTGGTTCTGACATGTAGAGCTTCGACCCGCAGGCGTAATGACTCTGATACTTCCAGCAATCACTTCCTAAAGAACCATTTTATCTCAATGTGAAGAACATTTAATAATCGGAAGAATCGTTTGTGCAATGGATGATAGAGGCTCTTCGTGAAACCTTTACAAATAACCTTTATTTTTAACCCTCCGTGCTCTTTTTTTATTTCAATGAAATGAATGTACTATATTTTAGTTCGATAATGTTTTTTATTTAATATTTTGTATTTTAAGGGGATTTTATGGGATTAAATGATATTTACGCTGTATTTATAATCCATTTATTCACGTTTTAAGCTGAAAATTACATTTCAATCTTGAACGCTTTAGAGCGACAGACTGAAGTTTGATCTCTTCTCAAAGACGACACTTGGCAGATTATTGCTGAAGTGAACAAAGTTTTAAAAAGACAACTTAAAAAAAAAGTTACAGAATTTTACGTTTATTGTTATGAAAAATATGCAAAAATACTATTTAAAATTTTTATATGAAATAAATATTTTCAAAAAACATGTTTTACTCTAAAACTGTGATAAATCAAAGCCATAACTCTCCACCAGTGTGTTCCGCATGTGAGTCTGATCTGTCAGTAAACGAGCGTTCAGTGAGAGTGTGTTCGGCTGCAGTTCCACACGCTTCCACTAGAGGAAACTCTCATTCATTTACTATGCGTCGTTTCTGAGCGCGAGCAGCACAAGTGTGTGTGACTGTTGCTTTCAGGACCATTTAACCTGTTCGGATCATGTACATGATGTGTGTGTGTGTGTTCACACAGCAAGTGCCAAAACCTTTACCAATTTTCGTACCATTCCGATAAAAAAAAAAATGCAACAAAAAAATTTTTTAAAATATTTCAGTCAAAAATTACCGAAAAGCAGAGTGCAACAAGAAATATACATTTAAAATACGTTCAAATGCATTAATAAACAAAATTCTTTTGAATGTGAAAATCCTGTAGGCTTTCCTTTGATTGCTCTTGAATGCATGAAGATGAGAGCTCTTCCACATCTGGTTTAGCGGATCATACAGAGATCTTTAATGGAGATGAGAGCTCTTCCACATCTGGTTTAGTGGATCATACAGAGATCTTTAATGGAGATGAGAGCTCTTCCACATCTGGTTTAGCGGATCATACAGAGATCTTTAATGGAGATGAGAGCTCTTCCACATCTGGTTTAGCGGATCATACAGAGATCTTTAATGGAGATGAGAGCTCTTCCACATCTGGTTTAGCGGATCATACAGAGATCTTTAATGGAGATGAGAGCTCTTCCACATCTGGTTTAGCGGATCATACAGAGATCTTTAATGGAGATGAGAGCTCTTCCACATCTGGTTTAGTGGATCATACAGAGATCTTTAATGGAGATGAGAGCTCTTCCACATCTGGTTTAGTGGATCATACAGAGATCTTTAATGGAGATGAGAGCTCTTCCACATCTGGTTTAGCGGATCATACAGAGATCTTTAATGGAGATGAGAGCTCTTCCACATCTGGTTTAGTGGATCATACAGTGATCTTTAATGAAGATGAGAGCTCTTCCACGTCTGGTTTAGCGGATCATACAGAGATCTTTAATGGAGATGAGAGCTCTTCCACATCTGGTTTAGTGGATCATACAGAGATATTTAATGGAGATGAGAGCTCTTCCACATCTGGTTTAGTGGATCATACAGAGATATTTAATGGAGATGAGAGCTCTTCCACATCTGGTTTAGCGGATCATACAGAGATCTTTAATGGAGATGAGAGCTCTTCCACATCTGGTTTAGTGGATCATACAGAGATCTTTAATGGAGATGAGAGCTCTTCCACATCTGGTTTAGCGGATCATACAGAGATCTTTAATGGAGATGAGAGCTCTTCCACATCTGGTTTAGTGGATCATACAGAGATCTTTAATGGAGATGAGAGCTCTTCCACATCTGGTTTAGCGGATCATACAGAGATCTTTAATGGAGATGAGAGCTCTTCCACATCTGGTTTAGTGGATCATACAGAGATCTTTAATGGAGATGAGAGCTCTTCCACATCTGGTTTAGCGGATCATACAGAGATCTTTAATGGAGATGAGAGCTCTTCCACATCTGGTTTAGCGGATCATACAGAGATCTTTAATGGAGATGAGAGCTCTTCCACATCTGGTTTAGCGGATCATACAGAGATCTTTAATGGAGATGAGAGCTCTTCCACATCTGGTTTAGCGGATCATACAGAGATCTTTAATGGAGATGAGAGCTCTTCCACATCTGGTTTAGCGGATCATACAGAGATCTTTAATGGAGATGAGAGCTCTTCCACATCTGGTTTAGCGGATCATACAGAGATCTTTAATGGAGATGAGAGCTCTTCCACATCTGGTTTAGCGGATCATACAGAGATCTTTAATGGAGATGAGAGCTCTTCCACATCTGGTTTAGCGGATCATACAGAGATCTTTAATGGAGATGAGAGCTCTTCCACATCTGGTTTAGCGGATCATACAGAGATCTTTAATGGAGATGAGAGCTCTTCCACATCTGGTTTAGCGGATCATACAGTGATCTTTAATGGAGATGAGAGCTCTTCCACATCTGGTTTAGTGGATCATACAGAGATCTTTAATGGAGATGAGAGCTCTTCCACATCTGGTTTAGCGGATCATACAGAGATCTTTAATGGAGATGAGAGCTCTTCCACATCTGGTTTAGTGGATCATACAGAGATCTTTAATGGAGATGAGAGCTCTTCCACATCTGGTTTAGTGGATCATACAGATATCTTTAATGGAGATGAGAGCTCTTCCACATCTGGTTTAGTGGATCATACAGAGATCTTTAATGGAGATGAGAGCTCTTCCACATCTGGTTTAGCGGATCATACAGAGATCTTTAATGGAGATGAGAGCTCTTCCACATCTGGTTTAGTGGATCATACAGAGATCTTTAATGGAGATGAGAGCTCTTCCACATCTGGTTTAGCGGATCATACAGAGATCTTTAATGGAGATGAGAGCTCTTCCACATCTGGTTTAGCGGATCATACAGAGATCTTTAATGGAGATGAGAGCTCTTCCCCATCTGGTTTAGCGGATCATACAGAGATCTTTAATGGAGATGAGAGCTCTTCCACATCTGGTTTAGCGGATCATACAGAGATCTTTAATGGAGATGAGAGCTCTTCCCCATCTGGTTTAGTGGATCATACAGAGATCTTTAATGGAGATGAGAGCTCTTCCACATCTGGTTTAGTGGATCATACAGAGATCTTTAATGGAGATGAGAGCTCTTCCACATCTGGTTTAGTGGATCATACAGTGATCTTTAATGGAGATGAGAGCTCTTCCATATCTGGTTTAGTGGATCATACAGAGATCTTTAATGGAGATGAGAGCTCTTCCACATCTGGTTTAGTGGATCATACAGAGATCTTTAATGGAGATGAGAGCTCTTCCACATCTGGTTTAGTGGATCATACAGAGATCTTTAATGGAGATGAGAGCTCTTCCACATCTGGTTTAGTGGATCATACAGTGATCTTTAATGGAGATGAGAGCTCTTCCATATCTGGTTTAGTGGATCATACAGTGATCTTTAATGGAGATGAGAGCTCTTCCACATCTGGTTTAGTGGATCATACAGTGATCTTTAATGGAGATGAGAGCTCTTCCACATCTGGTTTAGTGGATCATACAGAGATCTTTAATGGAGATGAGAGCTCTTCCACATCTGGTTTAGTGGATCATACAGAGATCTTTAATGGAGATGAGAGCTCTTCCACATCTGGTTTAGTGGATCATACAGAGATCTTTAATGGAGATGAGAGCTCTTCCACATCTGGTTTAGCGGATCATACAGTGATCTTTAATGGAGATGAGAGCTCTTCCACATCTGGTTTAGCGGATCATACAGAGATCTTTAATGGAGATGAGAGCTCTTCCATATCTGGTTTAGTGGATCATACAGAGATCTTTAATGGAGATGAGTGCTCTTCCATATCTGGTTTAGTGGATCATACAGAGATCTTTAATGGAGATGAGAGCTCTTCCACATCTGGTTTAGTGGATCATACAGAGATCTTTAATGGAGATGAGAGCTCTTCCATATCTGGTTTAGTGGATCATACAGAGATCTTTAATGGAGATGAGAGCTCTTCCACATCTGGTTTAGTGGATCATACAGAGATCTTTAATGGAGATGAGTGCTCTTCCACATCTGGTTTAGTGGATCATACAGAGATCTTTAATGGAGATGAGAGCTCTTCCACATCTGGTTTAGTGGATCATACATGATCCACTTTAATGGAGGTTTAGTGGATCATACAGAGATCTTTAATGGAGATGAGTGCTCTTCCATATCTGGTTTAGTGGATCATACAGAGATCTTTAATGGAGATGAGAGCTCTTCCACATC